AAAAAAAAAAAAAAAAAATCAAACTGGAAACCAAAAACAGAAAAACAGGAAAATCGTCAAACACTTGGAGACTAAACAACACACTTTTAAATAATCCTTTGGTCAAAAAAGAAATCTCAATGGAAATAAAAACATACATTTCAAATGAAAATAAAAATAAAAATACAGCATATCAAAGTGTGTGGGACACAGCTAAAAAAGAAGGAACTTTATAGTGCTAAATGTCCTCATGAACATAAATGCAAAAAATCCTTAACAAAATTATTAGTAATTCAGCAACGTATGAAAAGAATTATATACCATTTCCAAGTAGGATTTATTCCATGGATGCAAGGCTGGCTAAATTAAAAAATTAATCCAAATAATCCATCATACTGACATGCTAAACAAGAAATATTACATACCGTATCAGTCAATGCATAAATAGCACTTGACAAAGTTCAAAACCCACTTGTGATAAAAACTCTCACAAAGATAGGAATAAAGGGTAATTTTCTCAACTGGATAAAGAGCATCTACAAAACCTAGTTAACACTAAACAGTGTGAAGTGTAAGGATGTAAGATCAGCATAAGAAAGTTAACTATTTTGCTCTACTAGCAATGAACACATGGACACCAAAACTAAAAATGCTATTTTCAATGGTTAAAATAAAAATACTTACAAGTAAATCTAACAAAACACAGACTTGTATGATAAAATTATACAATGCTGATGAAAGAAATCAAAGAAGATCTAAATAAATGGAGAGACTTACTATGTTCATAGACTGGAAGATGCAACATAGTAACATATCAATTCTCCCCTAACTGATAAATAAATCTAATGCAATTACTATCAAAATCCCAGCAATACTTTTTTTAAATAGATAAAATTATTCTGCAATTTATATGGAAAGATAAAGGAACAAGAATACATAAAACAATTTTGAAAGAAAAATGATGTGGGAAAAATCAGTCTACATCAGCTTAAGACTTATACCGCACAGTAACCAAGACTGTGTGATTGTGATATCCGCAGAGGGACAGACACACAGATCAATGGAACAGAACAGAGAACCCAGGAAGACTCTGTTACAAATATACCCAACTGATTTTTTACAAAGATACAAAAGCAACTCAATGGAGGAAAGATGTTGCCTTTTCAACAAATGATGCTCATAGTCAAAACTTGAAACAACCAGGTGTTCTTCAGCAGGCAAATGGTTAAAAGAATTGCAAAAGTACATATGTACTATGAAATATTATTTAGCAATAAAAGGAAGCAACTACTTACACACACCAGATGAACCTCCAGAGGATTATGTTGAGTGAAAAAACTAATTCCAAAAGGCACTCACTGTATGATTCCATTTATAAAATATTCTTGAAAAGACAAAATTATAGGAATGGAGAACAAATTAGTGATTGTCAAGGCTTAAGAAGCAAGTGCAGGTAGGAAGAAAGTAGGTGTGGCTATGGAAGAACATCATGCAGAAATGTGAGGCAATGGAAATGGACTGTATCCTGACTGTACCAATAATGACACTATCATAATTCTGATACTGCACTAGTTTTACAAGATGAAGTGGAGAGAGGGCGACATCTTAACAATGAAAAATCATACATAAAGATGCAGAGCTGGACATAAGCAAAGTGCCTACAGAGAAAGAGACATCTGCATGTAGTGAAATAACAGAAAGAAGGGATTAACAGTGCAGGGTAGTTATGGAAGTTCCCAGAATCCAGAGAGTTCGAATGTCACCTACTCAAAGAAGCCTTCCTCACCAACCCAACCAACCAAAAGCAGCAACTGTCCCACCTACAGTCTCTCCAACATCCTTTACTTTTACTTTATAATGCTCACCACACATACTTATTGCCTACTTAACTGCATGTTTATTTAATGCTGTTCCTTGCCCATGTTATCTTGAGTATCTAGGGTGTGGTACACAATAAGCACTTGTCAGTAAAATTGTAATATTTCCAGAATATCTTGCCTGGCTTTAGTGCTTTTGCATATCAACAGGCATTCCTCAGGGGTGGAAAGCAGTAGTCCATCTCCATATCAATGGGTTTACCTGGGCAACCACAGGCTTATCAGAATCTGAGAGGTTAAGGGGAGGTCTTTTTTTTTGCTTTTGCCTGCGTAGGAGAGAGAGATGGCCCCGGACTGCAGTTTGTAAGCAATAAACAGATTTTAAACTTTATTTCTCCCTTTGACTGATTTCAGTTTTAGAGGTATTTTGCCCCGGAATTTCTTTTCCCCAAAGTTACAGCACTCAATAAATATTAACTGGAGAAATGAATAGTAAGTATTCACTCCTAGTTCTCCTCTGTGCAGCCACACCACTCTTCCTCCATTATCTGTTATTCCATTCAACTTGGTCCCTCTCTGGACCTACTGTTTCTTTTACTTAATCTCTCCTTTTCCTTGCTTCTCCACCTCAGCCTAGCTTTTAACCCATCATAAAAATAAAAAACCAGTATATTTTAAAACAGTGGTTCACAACTGCAGAGCTGTAATACTCTTCTTAATCTCAACCAATTAGGACCTGTATCCCAAAAAAATCTGTTAATGAAAACAAATTACTAAAGCTGCATGTTGTTACATAAGCATAATAGATGTACGTATTACACAGACAAACCAGTAAGAGCAGAAACACCTGTCCCCCTTTACTTTCTTGAATATGAGAGTCTTTTCCTATCTGGTCTATGGAAAGCTGTCCACCAAAGACAGCCAGACAGTGTACTCCTCAAGGCTACCAAAGTTAGAAAAACAAGAAACTGCCAGAGCTATGAATGAAACTCAGACCAGGACTTGGAGCAGAAAAGCCACACATAGCTCTACCTTCGTTTTGACTCTGGTCTCATGGTCTTATCTGATGCCATGAGAATCATCATGCCTGCAACTGCCTGAGATTAACTACCAATTTGGACTTCCTAGCATGCTTATTCATAAACTCAACAACATTTATTGGGAACCTGCTGCCTACCAGGCACTGTTAAGTCTCTGGGGATACCTGGCTGGAAAAGGAAGACACAATCTCTACTCTCATAAACTTTATATTCCATTGGAGAAGCCAGGATTTAACATGTATTTGTTCCCAGGAATGGTAGAGCTTGCTTCTTAAAAGCCCTACCAAACAATCCATCAGTACATTTGTTAAACCCAGTTACCACTGGCATTCTGAATAAGACCTTCAATGTGAACACAAATCACCTGAGACAGATCTTTGATCTAACTCTTGTGATCTGTTAAATCACTTTAACAGATACTCATTAAACTTACATGGTTGGGACCTAAGAGCCTGCATTTCTTCCAAACCCCAAAATGACAAGGCTGCTGCTGGCTCACAAACCACCCTTTGAATTAGCAACACTCTTAAGCACCATGGTAACGTCTCTGAAATTATCATGTAAAATGTAAGCTCCATAAAGTCAAGGACATTTGTCTCTTATTCACCACAGTATATCCAGAACTTGAAATTGTGCCTCACAGATAGCACTCAATAATTATTGTAATGGATGTATGATCTAGACAAGCACCATTAAATAGTAGGCACCAGTCATATCTGGCTACTCAACACTTGACACTTGGCTAATGCAACTAAGGAGTTGAATTTTTTAAAATTTAATGTTAATTAATTTAAACAGCCACATGTGGTAAGTGGCTACCACAGTGAACAATCCAGGTCTAGACACACGTGTGATATAAAGAGCACTGGATTAATAATGCCTAGGTCTGAAAAATGCCTAGTTCTGCTACTTGGCTTGTGACCTGAAAAGTTCCAACTTCTTAGGGCCTCAACTTCATCTGTGAAATGAGGACAAGGCACCGCCCCCCCAACTCCAACTTGTCAGGGTTCTTGTTCTTACTGTAACTGAACATATTAAGCATCAAGTATGATTAAGGTGACATTCTCTACCTTCCAGAAACAGTTCACGATCACAAACACTACTTTGCCAGAAAATGTCAAGCGCGTTTGGTCGGATTGGTTAGCTAAGTGGCTTTGTGAATGAGGCCAAGGTCATAAGTTTGGGGAGTGGGGGAGCCTCCTCACTTAGCAAGGCTGACCAGGTAAGAGAGGCAATGACAATGCAAATCATCCCAAGTCCTGCCAAATCTTTAAATAGGCATTATAGTGATTATGGATGAGTAAATGACATTTTATCCATTCATTCTTGCAGGAAGGTGTGGGTGCCACATTACTAAAGGCCACACTACTTCGCATGCACAGACATTTGCTAATTCAGGGCCCGGTCCTCTTCGCGAGCAGTGAGCGGGGAAGCCCCCGCCCCAGGCCGCCCGCGTGTCCTCCCTTCCCCTTCGCGCCAGCCCGACGAGGGTCAGTTTAGCACCACGGTTCCCAGTACCACACCGCGAGCCGAGCCCAGGGGCCATATTTAGCCTATTTGCGGTAAATAGAACAAACTTCCGTCTTCTAAAGAAAAGCGGTTCTAACTCAATGCCAAACTAGGACAGAAAGTCGCCGCTTGCCGGGGCTGCCAACCCAAGACGTGTCCAGCAGCCCCGGAGGCCCCGACTCGGACCCCGCACCGCGCGCCCGCGTCCCTGCCACGGCAGCGCCGGCCACAAAGAGACGGGAGCCGCAGCTGCGGCCGGGCCTCCTCCTCCTCCTTCGGCCCCACGCAGGCGGCCGCGGCTCGGGATAGCCCAGGCGCGGGGAGGCACTCACCTCCCTCCGCGCGCGGCGGCGGCGGCGGCGGCGGCGCGGGCGCTCCTCCGGGCCGGCCCCGGCGGTCGCGGCACAGTCCCGCGGGCCGCAGCGCGGTGCTAATATGGGGCCACCGTCCGCCGCGCAGCCTTCTCGGCCACTGCCGCCGGCTCCCCTGGCGGGCGGGCGAGCGGGCGGGCACGACGCGGGCCCCGCCTCCGCCGCGCCCTCCCCCGCCTCCGCGCCGGGCCTCGCGGGCTCGGCGCGCTACTCGGAACCGCACCGCATGCTGCCGCCTCTGCCACTCGCTCGGGACCGCCTCGCCGCGGCGGGCCGGGCTGCAGGGCGCCCGCGCAGGCCTCTAGGGCGAGGTCGTCACAGCGCGCGGCGTGCGGCCGCCGGTGCGGCTGCGCGGGGCTAGCCGAGGCGCCGGGCGCTCACCGGAAGCGCCGCCCCCAACCTCCCCTGTTCCACAAAGCCCAGAGGCACTTCCGTCCCGGCGCTGGACTTAACGGTGTTTCGAGGACACTACCCTGCCTGCCTGAGGCGCGGGGCGGCGCGGAACCGAGGGGAAGGCCCCGGACGGGAGGCTTGTTCACGAGGGCTCGGCCCTGCCGTCCGGACCGGGCGGTGCCCACCTGAACCACCGATAAAGAGACTGCCGCAGCAAGTAAAATAACACTCGGGCAATGACTCCTGGGGTAAGGGGAAGTGGAGGTGCACTCACTGCGCCAGGGAAGGCCTCAGATCGTCCCTGGTCGAGCATGAAGCTGCTCCCAACCCGTACAGCAGCCCTAAAGCGGCCAAGGCGGACCTAGAGCTGAAGGGCTGTCGAGGTGCATTCGTGATGCCTTGCTGAGCCCTGAGCCAGGTGTCGGGGATGTAGGAGGCCCACGATCCAGGGTGGGCGGTGAGAGGGAGACCACAGACCGGCACCCCGAAAGAAGTAGGTAGACCTCGGGGGACAAAAACTCGAGGGCCCCTGCAAAATAGGGATTGTTTGGGGAAGTGTCTGTAGGAAAATGCCCTCAGAGGGGCTCTTCCACTGTGCCCTTTGGGAAACACTCCTCCACACTAGTTCTGATAAGGAAAAATTTAGAAGGACACAATTTACAAGGACAGCAGCCTAATCCAGGTGGCTTCCTTCTGTTGCTCTTCTTAGCAAAGACGTCTTAGCAGAAACTCCCTTAACTTCCCCCTCCCCTTCACTCCGCACTCTGCCAGGCACTTACTCCCTAAATTCACTCCCCTTTGCCTGCTCGCTTGCTGTGCACGTAGGAATGTTACAGATACAGAAGCAGAAAGATATATATTGCTTCATTTGCCTTTGTTCAGGATTCAGACTTTGGGAGATTACTCCCCTCTGAGCCCGCCAGTGTGAAATAAAGCCTCAACAGTCCAAGACCTCCGAGTGCGTGCTTGCTTCTTCCATCAGTGATCCAGTCCAGGTTTTTCCAGTATTTTCCAAAACAATTCCAGTACCTATCCCTCCCTGCCTTACCCTAAAGAGAAGAAACTTTCACTATTCCTCTATCACTCACACTAGGCATACCCAACCGTTTTTTTAATAAACTAATTTTCTGTTTAAATCATTGAGAAATTTATGTGTCTTGCTTGTCAGCCAAGAGCTGAAATAATGAGAGGCTAATGTTTATATTATTTAAATAGCCCCATTTAAGTTTTAAAAATAAATGCTATGTATGTTCATAGAGAGAACCAAAGGCTGTAAGCAAAAAAATGTTACTGAATTATTTCTGGAATTTACTACCATGTTTTATACTAATCTACATTTTTCAAGTATTATACAATAAAAGTTAAAAGTTGCTTTTTAAAGGTTCTAATAAAATACTTTGAAAAAATGTGAATGGTGATTGGTCTGTTAGTATACCGCAAGGAAACATCACTTTGAAGTTTGTATCTCTTTTTAAAATACTGTGTCAGAAAATAAATATGTATCTGGGGGAAAAAAGATTTGCAAATATTATATCTGATAAAGGACTTGTATTTGGTATATATAGAGAGAGCTCTTATTAAACTCAATAATAAGACTAACAATCCAATTTAAAATGGGCAAAGTAATTGAATAGACGTTTTACCAAAGAAAAAATTTAAGTGGTCACCAAAAGCATGGAAAGATGCTCAACATCATTAGTCATTAGCAACATGCAAATCAGAATCAGTGAGAAAGCTCTTCACACCCTCTACAGTAGCTGTAATAAAAACTGACAACAACAAGTGCTGGTGAGGAGATAAGAGAAATTAGAACCCTCACACATACTTGTGGGAATGTGAAATGGTGCAGCCACTTTGGAAAAATTTGATAGGTTCTTAAAAAGTTAACATGAAAGTACCATATGACCCAATAATTCCACTCCTAGGTATATACCCCCAAAAAACAAAATATACCCATATAGTAAGCTTATGTAAATATTCATAGCAGCATTATTCATAATACCCAAAAAGTGGAAAGAATCCAAATGTCCAACAGCAGGTGAATGGATAAAAAAAAGGTGGTATATCCATACAATGGAATGATAGCAATAAAACTAAATGAAATATTTCTATAAGATACAATGTAGAGAAGGAGAGAGATTCAAGATGGTGGCATGAGAGGTGAGATGAAGAATTCCTCCCAGAACCACAAATAGTATGAAAATATAGTTAATTGCTACAACTAACCCTAAAACAGCAACAAGAAAAAAGGCTGAACCAAACTGCATGCAGACCTCACGAACAGAGCAGACCTCAGGGTACCATACAAAAGCCTTTACTGGATGGGACCCAAGCCCTTCCCTCACCCCAGCTCACTGGTGGGAGGGAGAGAACTGGAGCAGTGGAGGGGGTGGAAGCCTAGAACTGCTGAACACCCAGCCCTGGAGGTCAGCTTTGGGAGCAGAAACCTAAACTGTGTGGTGCTCTGGACGTTGAGGAGCTCAGACAGGTGGAATGCTTGACACACATTGTGGCCATTTGTGGAGGAGGGGATCCTCAGCCAGCTGCTCTGACACAAAGAAAGGCAGGCGGTTTGAGAAGCTTCCTAGCAGCAAGAGGGCTGCTGATGGAGCAGGGTTTGAACAGAGCTTGCTGCGCAGCGGAGGGGAGAGCTGGACAAGGTTGTCTGGGGGTGCTTTGTTCAGCTGGTTGGGAACTTTGAGGAGCTTCAGGCAGCCCATCCCTCTGGCTGCCTACTCAGCTCCAAGGCCCCCAGTGTGACACACAGCCTGCTGCGCCTTCCTCCTAGCCTGCTGGCACTGGATCACAAACCAGCAATCACTGCGCTGGCATGAGGCCAGCCAGAAGGAGGTTCAGCCTACAACGGCTATAGACGCTAAGAACAGAGGCTTATACCTGCATGCTTGGCCCACTGGCTCTGACACTTGAGACAGGCACCAGACGGGAATCAGGAAACAGATCTCTCCTCCCCCCAGGCACCAGCTCCACTCCTCTACCACCCCCAGCCTCCCTCTAGGCGCTGAGCAGCTTCAGAGACTGGAACTTCTGGGCACTAGTGGGAACCACACAGAATTATGAAACGTCAGAAGAACATGGTTCAGACCAAAATCTCACAAACCCCAGAAAAAGGGCCTAATGAAACTGAAGTCACCAATATACCTGAAAGAGAGTTCAAAATAAAAATCATAAACATGCTTATGTAGGCACAGAAAAATAATCAAGAACTCATGAACTAATTTAAGTAGGACATTCAATCATAAAGAAATTCCATATCTGAAATGAAACATACAAAGGAGGGATTTAAAAGCAGATTAGATGTAGTAGAAGAGACAGTAAGTGTAATACAAATTAGAGAGGAGGAATACAAAGAAACTGAGGCACAAATAGAAAAAATATCTAAGAATGAAAGAACATTGAAAGAACTGTGACCAATCCAGATGGAACAATATTCGCATTATAGGCGTACCAGAAGGAGAAGAGAGAGAAAAGGGATAGAAAGTGTCTTTGAAGAAATAATTGCTGAAAAGTTCCCCAAGGTAGGGAAGGAAATGCTTCTATAAGATACAATGTAGAGAAAGACACCAGTGGATACAGTACAGTCAGTCCATGGAAGCCCACAAATCTCCCAACACAAAGGACCCAAGGAGAACAACAACACATATAATAATTAAAATGGCAAAGATCAAAGATAAAGACAGACTTAAAAGCAGTTAGAGAGAGAGAAAAGATCACATACAAAGGAAAACCCATCAGGCAATCATCAGACTTCTCAACAGAAACCTTACAGGCCAGAAGGGAGTGTCGTAATATATTTAATGCAATGAAGCAGAAGGGCCTTGAACCAAGAATATTATACCTGGCAAGGTTATTATATTTGAAGGAGTGACTAAATAATTTTCAGATAAGAAAAAGTTGAGAGAATTTACCTTCTACAAACCATCTTTACAGTGCATTTTGCAGGTACTCCTATAGATGGAAGTATTCCTAAGGCTAAACAGATGTCACCCAATGGATAGACAAAGAGCACAGACTATGATTCATAACATACAAAGAATGGAGGAAGAAGAAAAACGAGGAAAGAACCTTTAGGTTGTGTTTGTAATATCACACGAAGTGAGTTAAATTAGACTGTTAGATAGTAAGGGAATTACCCTTGAAACATTGGTAACCACAAATCAAAAGCCTGCAATGGCAATAAATACACACATGTCAATAAGTACCCTAAATGTAAATAGTATGAATGCACCAATCAAAAGACATAGAGTCACTGAATGGATTAAAAAATACGACCCCAGGATCAAGGGAAGATGGCGGCGTGAGTAGTTCAGTGGAAATCTCCTCCCAATAACATATATATTTATGAAAATACAATAAACACACTATTCCTAAAAGAGACACCAGTGGATACAGTACAACAGCCAGGATACATCTACATCTGTGAGAACTCAACATCACACAAAGGGGGTAAGATACAAGCCATGACCAGGCGGGACCCAAATGCTCCCCCACCCCAGAAGCCGGCGGGAAGAAAGGAGTGGGAATGGGGAGGGAGTGAAAGCCCAGGATGGCTAAACAACCAGCTTTAGAAATACGCACCCAGAGCGTGGACACAAGGTGCATGGGCTGCTGGATATTAGAGAAACGGAAAAACAAAACCTGCAGGCAGGTCCCAACAACTGGGGCCACTGAGACAAAAGAAAAGCAAGTACTTTTTGCAAGTCTTAAAGAGACAGGGACCCCACGGCTGGATGAAGTCATCCTGGCACACTTAGCCATCAGCTGGGAATCCCAGAAAACTTTAGGCACCCTAAGCCCCTGGGCAGCAGCACAGCTCTGAAGCCCCTCATGGCACTAAAGGAGCCTGCCAGTCGTTCCTCCAACTGGCATGGACCACGACACACCAGCCCAGTAGTGGTAGAGTGGCAGCATGCGCCGGGGGCAGCAGTGCTGCAGGAGACTGGGAGCAGCCCACGTGCACAGGCAGCGCCACAGGGGACCAGTAGTAGCTCCTGTGAGCCCACTGTGGCAGCAAATGAGCAGCCAGGGAGCAGCCCACGCACGCCACTGGCAGTGGCACCAGAGGAGCCCGGTAGAGGTCCGGGTAAGCCCACAGCGACAGTGACCAAGCGGCCCCGGAGCGGCCCACGCGTGCCAGTGACGGCAGCACCAGAGGGGCACAGGAGAGGCCCACGTGCACCTGCACCAGAGCCAGAGGGAGCAGCTGCGCTCCCAGCAGCTGACCGGAATCCCAGCCCAACACACAGCCACCCAGGCCAGACCCAAAGGCCACTGCTGGCACACAGCTGCCTGGCAGGGGTGCTGCTATTGCGGAAGAGTCCACCTGGCATGCCTGCCACTCCCCGCAGGGCTCCACGCTGCTCTGACTGAGACCCCGCCCATAGCAGCTTAGGGGATTAACCCAGTGGCTGCTCCAGGAGTATGGGTAACCAACACAGGCAATGGAGAAAGACAAGGCATCCAGCAAGCAGGAAAGGACTTTCTTCTCCCAGCTGACACACCTGCAACCTGCCTACAGCCACCACTATCACTATAAAAAGGTAAAAAAATTCAGTCCAGTCCAAAATAGTTCAGACAAACCCTGAGAGACGATCTTCAGAGACAGACCTAACCAGTCTCCCTAAAAAAGAATTCAAAATAAAAATCATAAACATGCTGACAGAGTTGCAGAGAACTATACAAGAGCTAAGAGATGACATCCAGAGGGAGATTACAGAAATGAAAGAATCTCTGGAAGGATTTATAAGCAGAATGGATAAGATGCAAGAGGCAACTGATGGAATAGAAAGCAGAGAACAGGAATGCATAGAAGCTGATGCAGAGAGAAATAAAAAGATATCCAGGAATGACACAATATTAACAGAACAATATCCACATGATAGGGATATCCAGAAAAAGAAGAGAGAGAAAAAGGGATAGAAAATGTCTTTGAAGAAATAATTGCAGAGAACTTCCCCAGACTGGGGGAGGAAATAGTTGCTCAGACTATGGAAGCACACAGAACTCCCAAGAGAAGGGACCCAAAGTGGACACCACCACGACACATAATAATTGAAATGGCAAAGATCAAGGAGAAGGACAGAGTATTAAAGGCAAACAGAGAGAGAAAAAAGGTCACCTA